GTCAGCTTTCTGCTTCTCTGATGCTGCTTGGCCTGCTGTGTTCATCCAGCTCTGCACCTTGTTATCTCAGATTCTCCAGCATCTGCAGTTCCTACTATCACTGTGGCTACAAGAGCAGGTCAGAGGCTAGGAATACTGCAACGAGTAACTTACCTCCTGACTCCCCGAAGCCTGTCCACCATCTACAAGGCACAAGTCAAGAGTGTCATGGAGTACTCCCCACTTGCCTGGATGGGGGTAGCTCCGACAACATTCAACAAGCCTGACATCATCCAGGACAAAGCAGCTGCTTGATTGGCACCACATCCACAAGCATCCACTCCCTCCACCACCGACATTCAGTAGCAGCAGTGTGTACTATCTATAAGATGCACTGCAGAAATTCACCAAAGATCCTCAGACAGCACCGTCCAAACCCACAACCACTTCCATCTAGAAGGACAGGGGTAGCAGACACACAGGAACACCACCCCTTGCAACTTCCCCTCCAAGTCATTCACCACCATCCTGACTTGGAAATATATTGCCATTTCTCCAGTGTCGCTGGGTCAAAATCTTGCAATTCCCTCCCTAATGGCATTGTGGGTCAACCTCATTGTCGGTTTGCACATGGACAGCTACTGTTCAAGAATGCAACTCATCGCCACCTTCTCAAGGTGCAACTAGGGATAGGAAGTAAATGCTGGCCAGCCAGCGACACCCAGGTCCCATGAGTGAATTTTTCTTTTAAATTACTGATGGAAATCAATTTTCCCTCATACTGTTCAAAGAATTCCCTCTGATAAGTAATCAGCATATTTGGCTGTTTCATCTGTTTCTAGTGCAATCTGGGCTGAAAGTGAATCACAGTTCCTAGTTTAGTTTATTGAACAATATATTTTAGCCCACTGTTGTCTCAGAATATTTCTGATCTCTTTATCATTGTTCTGTTGACATTTTGCTTGACACTTGTAAACTAAGATATTTACAAGGTGAATAAAGAGTTGGAAGGTATTATTGCTTACTGATCTTTTATGTTACTGTTCTTAGTTGACTATGACTAACAAAAGGGGGTGCACTGCTTTGGATAAATTAATTTCTTTTGAATTGAACTAATTAATCTTGTTTGTTTTATGTTATCAGTCTAAAATACTTCACTCTCTTCTTATTGAGGAGGTAGTGAATTATAAAATCCTGCCAAAAATAGTTAAGACATTCAAAGATACCTAGATTTGAATGACATCCAAGGCTGCTGTACACATTCACGACTGCTCAATGGGAATTACCATAACCTGCGAGCCTTGACGCCCATGAGCTGGCTGCAATATTTGAAAAGATTTGATAAGTCAATAGAAACTGTTTCCTTTGCTGGAGGAATTCAAAATAGTGGGGCATAATCTTAAAATTAGAGCTTTAATGGTTCAGGGTGATGACAAGAAGCACTTCTTCACACAGAGGATAATGGAAATCTGGGACATAAGAACATAAGAACTAGGAGCAGGAGTACGCCATCCGGCCCCTCGAGCCTGCCCCGCCATTTAATAAGATCATGGCTGATTTTTTTGAGACTCAGCTCCACTTACCCGCCCGCTCACCTTAACCCTTAATTCCTTTACTGTTCAAAAATCTATCTCGCCTTGCCTTAAAAACATTCAGCGAGGCAGGTTCAACCGCTTCACTGAGCAGGGAATTTCACAGATTCACAACCCTTTGGGTGAAGAAGTTCCTCCTGACCTCAGTCCTACATCTGCTTCCCTTTATTTTGAGGCAATGCCCTCTAGTCCTAGTTTCACCTGCTAGCGGAAACAACCTCCCTGCCTCCACCTTATCTATTCCCTTCATAATCTTATATGTTTCTATAAGATCTCCCCTCATTCTTCTGAATTCCAATGAGTATAATCCCAGTCTACACAGTCTCTCCTCATAATCCAACCCTCTCAACTCTGGAATCAACCGAGTGAATCTCCACTGCACCCCCTCCAGTGCTTGTATATCTCTTCTCAAGTAAGGAGACCAAAACTGCACACAGTACTCCAGGTGTGGCCTCACCAGGACCCTATACAGCTGCAGCATAGCCTCCCTGTTTTTAAACTCCATCCCTCTAGCAATGGCAGACAAAATTCCGTTTGCCTTTTTAATTACCTGCTGCACCTGCAGTCCTACTTTTAGCGATTCATGCACAAGGACACCCAAGTCCCTCTGCACAGTAGCATTCTGCAATTTTTTACCATTTAAAACATAGTCCATTTTGCTGTTATTCCTACCAAAATGGATGACCTCACATTTATCAACATTGTACTCCATCTGCCAGACCTTTGCTCACTCGCTTAGACTATCTATATCCCTCTGCAGACTTTCAGTGTCTTCTGCACACTTTGCTCTACCACTCACCTTAGTGTCATCTGCAAATTTTGACATACCACGCTTAGTCTGCAACTCTGAATCATCTATGTAAATTGTAAACAATTGCGGTCCCAACACTGATCCCTGAGGCACACCATTAGCCACTGACCGCCAACCAGAAAAACACCCATTTACCCCTACTCTTTGCTTTCTACTGGTCAACCAATCCTCTATCCATGCCAATATATTACCTGTAATACCATGCAACTTTATCTTATGTAGCAGCCTTTGGTGTGGCACCTTGTCAAACGCCTTCTGGAAATCCAGATACACCACATCCACAGGTTCCCTATTGTCCTCCATGCAAGTAATGTCCTCAAAGAATTCCATCAAATTAGTTAAACATGACCTACCCTTCATGAACCCGTGCTGGGTGTTCCCAATGGGATAATTTATATCTAGATGTCTTGCTATTTCTTCCTTAATAATAGATTCAAGCATTTTCCCCACTACCAAAGTTAAGCTAATTGGCCTCCCCCAGAATGTGTCTGAGAATGGGGTTCAGTTGAACTTTACAAAACTGAAATATATTGAATTTTGTTTGATCAGGATATTAAGTTTTAAAACCAAAAGGGTCACTGGAGTTAAGATACAGGTCTGCCATGTTCCAGTTGACTAGTAGAATAGATTTGAGGGCAGGATGACCTCCTGATCCGATGACATTTCACTTGTAAGCTATTTTAGTTTAAATGTTATAAGCAAGTCGTGTGAGACAGTGTTAGGTATAATGATGGTGTTGATTGTGTCCAGACTTAGTAATATTTTTGAGTTTATTTTGTAAATTACAGCCTATATTTTGTTACAAGAGTTTTCTTTCTCCCCCCAAATAATACAGTTGGGCAAGAGCTGAATTCCCGAATATTGGTAAGTATTCTGCACCTACTGTGGTCGAAGTTTGTTGTGCCTTTTTTGTAAAGGGTGTGTGCTGCTGCACTGGGCCAGCATTTAATTCAAGCTCTCTGAAATGAGCTGTGGAATGATCAACTTATGGTGTCCATGCACATCTCTTGAGCATCCAGCCCAAAAGTGGGAGCGTGGAGGTCTGAAGCCAGAATGAATGGAGGGTGGGGAGAGGAGAACTTTCAACTGGGGTCTGCAACCCCTCCAACAAATCAGTCATATGTTTGCTGTATCTAAACCTTTACCATCTATTAATAGAACGCTGTGCTGGTGTCTCTTTAGTTTGTGTTCATTTTGTTTGTTTCTCCCTCATAGGTTATTAAAGCTGCTGAGGACTCTGCTGCTCAATATATGAATTTTATGAATGTTATCTTTGCAGCACAGAAACAGGTAGATTTTCTGTACTTCATTTAGTCACGCTTAATATTCTGAAAACTGGACTCAGTAGCTGTGGTGTGTACTATCTACAAGATGCCTAAGAAATTTGCCAGAGATCTTTGGACAGCACCTTCCAAACCCATGACCACTCCCATCTGGAAGGACAAGAGCAGCATGGGAACACCACCACCTGCAAGTTCCCCTCAAAGCCACTCACTGTCCTGACTTGGAAATATATCGCCGTTCTGTCACTGTCACTGGGTCAAATTCTTGGAATTCCCTCTGTAAGGACATTGTGGGTCTACCTACAGTGCATAGGCTGCTGGCCGATGATGCCTATGTCTCGCAAGTGAATGAATAAATAAAAAAATTTGGATCATACAGAAATAAACCTAAAATGGTCATTTATGAAGGTGGGGAGTTATGGCAAAGAATTCCCATTTCTGTAGCACCTTTCACATCAAGACTTCCTGAAACTCCTCACAACCATTGAAGTGTAGTCACTTTTTGAATGTTGAAAACGTGCCAACCAATTGACACAGGAAGCTCCTGCTAATAGCAATGTGATAATAACCAGATTATCTATTTTAGCGATGTTTAGTCAAGGGGTGTATATTGGCCAGGACTCTAGGGGAGACATTCCCTGCTTTTTCCCTTTTGTTTTGATTGTCTCATCCAGAAAATTGCCCTCCATTAGAGCAGAGCTGCACTGTCAGCCTGGATCATGTACTCGTCCTGAGTTTGGAAACAAGTTTGCTACACTCTGAACCATGTGCAACAATGAATAAATAGACAGGATTTGTTATTTGCAAAATAAGCTCAAAGTTTTGACATTTTTTTCCTCCATTCCTGTTGTGTATAGGGAGGTAGAAGATTGTTAGGGTTGCAAGTCTAAACTCTCTCTGCTTCAAGATGGTATCCCACTTTTGGAAGTTGCTGATCTGTAAGGACTAGTATCATGGTCCGTGGTGCAACCAGCTCCCAAGGGCAGATTTTTTTTTTTCAATCTTTCAATAGATTTGGACATCACTGGCAACACAAACACTTATTGCCCAATCTCTAATTGCTGTTGACCAGACTATTAAAGCTTTGTTTTGTCACAGTTAACACAGTGGGAATATCAGGTGTAATAATATTGTTCATAAAATAAAATTGAATTCCTTTTATTGTTACAGAATCTTCCAAATTATATCTCAGAGATTAAAAAGCCATTGTAAAACATGAAAAAACTTTCTGTTTTGGGTATAGGTTTGTACTTGGAGTGGGGTGTGTGGTTCTCATAACGTGTGATGCACACCAGTCCATGGGTAGAAATTACATCATACTGCTTTCTTTTATTTGTACAACAGCGTTGTTGTTAATTTAAAATCTCAGCCTATGGAGAGCATTCTTCAGCCAAGTGGAAGTTTGCATGACATTCCAATAGGTCTTGGGTACTAGACTCCATGCTGAAATCACTTATTCTTTTAGACAGATGACCCAGCATTTGTTGTCCGTCCTGAACTGCCCCTTGAGAAGTTGGCAGTAAGCTGCCTGCCTGAACAGCTGCAGCCCTTATGCTGTGGATAGTGTTCCGTGTACTTGCTGTTTGTATTCTTCTAGATGATAAAGATTGAGGGTTTGGAAGGAGCTATCAAATGAGCCTTGGTGAGTAGTAAGGATTTGCCTTCATGAGAGTGTTTTATCTGACGCTGGAAGGTATGTTATCCCCCGTGATGTAAACAGGGCATTGACATTGTGGGCAGCAAAATCCTAAATTACTGGAAAAAACTCAGCAGGTCAGGCAGCATCTGTGGAGAGAAAACAGAGTTAATGTTTCAGCTCCAGTGACCGTTCTTCAGGACAGCTAGTTGCTAGTTAGTTAGCTACTGTCAGTTCCGAAGAAAGGTCATTGGGGCTTTCTCTCCACAGATGCTGCTTGAACTTCTGAGTTTTTCCAGCAATTTAGGATTTTGTTTCTGTTTCCAGCATCTGCAGTTCTTTGGTCTTTTATGGATATTGGGGGACCGATGATTCCAACAAATGCCTACATTCCTCAGCCGTGGAAGTGTCTGAGCTAGTGTTAAGCTATGAGGCTACAACAGAGGAGTCTGCTTCCAGTAGAATGTCATGCTTAGGGTGATCCATGGTAAAATAGAGTCTGAGATCTTTATACCTTTGGGTCACATGCCATGAAACACTGATGTCATTAGTGTGTCTCTTAAAGATATACTTAGGGAACATAAAATGGAACAGCAAAAGTTGCGGTATTCAGTACACATTGCTGCCACTGTGTGCCATTGGTGGAGAGAGAGGAGTTTTGGGTCAGTGCATGTTACTGTAATTTTGCATTATGAAATATTTGGTTATTTTCTCTTTTTCAGAATATTTTGATTGATGCATGTGTTTTGGACTCTGAATCTGGGTTACTGCAGCAAGTAAGTTTTTAAGGTTTTTGCAAAGATTTGTAGCTCGGGTTGTGGGTGAGGTTGATGACTTGTTTGCCAAGCTGGCTTGTTTTTGTTCCGACGTTTCATCACCATGCTGGGTAATATCATCAGTGGGGCCTCCAATGAAGCAATATTGTTCTACTCTGCTTGGAATTTATACTGTCCGGTCCGTTGTGGTGAGTTGTGTCATTTCCAGTTTTGTTTTGTATGGGTTTGTCTACAGGATCCAATTCTGTGTGTTTGTTGATGGCATTGGAGAACCATGCCTCCAGGAATTCCCGTGCATGTCTATGTTTGGCTTGGGCTACTGTGGTTACATTGTCCCAGTTAAACTGATGGCCTTCATTGTCCGAGTGTACTGGTATTAAGGAAAGTTCGTCGTGTCACTAGCTGATGTTCATGTATTCCGATGGCTAGTTTCCTTCCTGCCTGTCCAACGTAATGTTTGTGGCAGTCGTTGCATGATATGTTGTAAACCACGTTGGTTCTGCATGTTGTGGGAATCGGGTCTTTAATCTTTGTGAGTGTTTGTCGTAGCGTGACAAGAAGGAAACTAGCCATCAGAATACACGAACATCAGCTAGCAGCAAAACAACACGACAAACTTTCCCTAATATCGGTACACTCGGACAATGAAGGCCATCGGTTTAACTGGGACAACGTAACTAAAGTAGCACAAGCCAAACATAGACACACACAGGAATTCCTAGAGGAATTCTCAATCCATAATGCAATCAACAAACATACAGAATTGGACCCAATATACAAACCCATACAGAACAGGACCAGAAATGACAGTACTCACCGTAACGGACCGGACAGTATAAATTCCAAGCGGAGTAGAATAACATCGCTTCGTCAGAGGCTCCACTGATGATGTTACCTAGCATGGTGATGAAATATCTGAACGAGAACAAACCCCCAGCTCAGCGAGCAAGTCAACAACCTCAAGTAAGTTATTATTTACATCTCTAAACTAAAAGCCTTCCGCAGAGCAAGACATGTACACAAACTCCAACCTTGGAAAAAGTGACTTTTTAAAATTTCTGCCAACATTAATTGGTTGAAAAATAGTAACAGTAGAGCACTTCAGGAGCACTTAATGTTTGCCACCTAATGTGGAGTCCCATACAGAACCCTGTGTTCTCACTGAGCTGCCCTGTTCTGTTTAGTTAATTAGGCATAGCCCACAAGAATGGTAGGGGGGGTGTGGGGGTGGTGACAGAGGCAGAGAGAGAGACAGAGACTGTTGGCTATATAGCTGGAGGGGCAGCAGCCCTCAGCAACTGTGGAGCAAGGTGAGGAGACAGGGCTCCATGAATAATCTGAGCCAGTATTGAATTGAACTAGCACTGTTGGTTTTATTCTGCTCCATGTTGTAAGCAATTGAGCTAACCAACCCACACATCTGCCCTGTTTAATTCTATTATTTCTTGGAGACTTTTATGGTTGAAAGACAGGTGGAGATTGCCATTGACTCACAGGAATTGCTGATCATTGATCTCTATTGCCTGTGGAAACCTGGATGTCACCAGGTTTACTTATTATAAAGTCATACAGCCCAGAAGAGGCCCTTTGACCCATCAAGTCTGTGCCAATCCTACCCTCCAGCACTTGGCCCAGAGCCTTGAATGTTGTAACATTTCAAGTGCTCATTAAGTACTTAGAGGCAGGAAACCTCATAACCTTTACTCCCTTCCCAGGCAGTGCATTCCAGATTACCACCACCCTCTGGGTGAAGTAAACCTTTCCTGAAATCCTCTGTAAACCTCCTTAAAATTTTGCTGTTGATTATTGACCCTTCAACTAAGATGAACAGCTGCTTCCTATCCGTCCTTGTCCGTGCCCCTCATAATCTTATGCACCTCAGTCATGTTGCCCGCTCAACCTTATCTGCTAGAAAGAAAACAACCCAAGCCTTTCCAACCTCTTCATTGCTAAACTGCTCTAATCCAGGCAACATCCTGGTGATTCTCCTCTGCACCCTCTCCAATGCAAATGCCTATAGCATGGGGACCAAAAATGCAAACAGTACTCCAGCAGTGGTTTAACCGGAGTCTTATACAGCTCTTATAATCAATGCCTCAACTGATAGAGGCAAGTGTCCTGTATGGCCTGCTTAATTGTTAACCCTATTATCCTGTCCTGCCATCTTGATGGATCTGTGGATAAGCACCCCAAGATCTCTCTCTCTCTGTCATGATTGAAAGCCTGCTCTGTACATTGCCAGTGAATAGATAAGGAAACACATTCAGAATTTTGGGTTCATATTCAGCAGGATTCCTGTGTCTAGTGGGCAGTCCCCCCACCATGTGAATCCTCTGTGTGTGGCTTAATGGAGCCCATAAAACTTGGATACTGGAATCTGATCTAGCACAAATCATTAAGGTTTTTAAACCTTTCATTGAACAGTTTTATTCAATTTCTTTTGTCTACAGGCTTCTGATATAACTGGAGGGTTATATTTAAAAATACCACAGATGCTCTCACTCTCACAGTATTTACTGGTAAGTTATAATTACTTAAAAACAGAACTTGCTTCATTCCCAAAATGAACAAAAATAGAAATTGCTGGTGAAACCCAGCAGGTCTGGCATTATGTGTTGAGAGAGAAAAACAAAGTTAACATTCAGTCCAGTGACCCAGACAAGACTTGAAACGTTAATTCTATTTTCTCTCCACAAATGCTGCCAGATCTGCTGAGTTTCTCCAACAATTTCTGCTTTTCTTATTTCAGATCCCCAGCATCAGCAGTTCTTTGTTTTATTTTTGTTGCTTCCTACTGATTTTGTTTAGCAGTGCGGAATGTACATGGGTGAATGGCTGGGACAGGTGTGGGCTTTTTGCAGTTCCCAAGAAACTCTGAAAATAAAACATGAATGGCAAGAACCCATTGTTTTTTGCAATTCCTTCTACAAATTTTGAATCAGTGGAGTTTTACAGCATAGCAAAATGCCCTTGACCCATCATGTCTGCACTGGTCATCAAGCACCTATCCATTCTTATCCTGCTAAGGGGAGCAGATGGCCCAGTGGTATTATTACTGGACAGTTAATCCAGACACCCAGGTAATGTTTTGGGGACCCGAGTTAGAAACGCACCGTCACATGTTGGAATTTGAATTAAATAAGTATTAAATCTGAAATTAAGAGTCTAATGACAACAATGAATCAATTGTCAGAACAACCCATCTGGTTCACTCGTGTCCTTTAGGGAAGGAAACTGCCATTCTTACCTGGTCTTCCTTACATGTGCCTCTGGATCCATAGCAATGTGGTTGACTCTTAACTGCCTTCTGGGTAATTAGAGATGTGGAATAAATGCTGGCCTAGCCAGTGATGCCTTCATCCCGTGAATGAATAAAAAATATTCTTTACAGCACTTGCCCCATAGTCTTGTCTGCTATAGCATTTCAAGTGTTTATTTAAATAGTTCTTAAATGTTATGATGGTCCCACCTGTACCACCCTTTCAGTCTGAGTTCCAGATACCCACCACTGGGTGAAAAGAATCTTCCTTAAATCTCCTCTAAAGCTCCTGCCCTTTACCTTAAATCTACATTCCCTGGTTACTGACTCCTCTCCTAAGGGTAAATATTTCCTATCTGCCCTATCTCTACCCCTAATAATTTTGTACACCTCAATCAAATCCCCCTTCAGCCTTCTCAGCTCTAAGGAAAATAATACCAGCCTATCTAGTCTCTTTTTGATAACTGAAAGGTTCCAGCCCAGGCAACATCCTTGTGAATCTCCTCTGCACCTTCTCGACTGCAGTGACATCCTTTCAGTAGCTTTGTAACCAGAACTGCACACAGTACTCCAGCTGTGGCTAACTTAATATATTATATAGTTCCAAGATAATCTTCCTGTTTTTATATTTGATGCCTCAACTAATAAAGGCAAGTGTCCCTTAAGTCTTTTTAACAACCTTATCCACCCCTCCTTTTGCCTTCAAGGATAAGTGAACATGCAGCCCAGGGTCCCCCTGATCCCCTGTACTTTGTACGATCCTACCTTTTACCATGTATTCCCTTGATGCATTAGACTTGCTAAAATGCATCAGCTCACACTCGTCTGTATCCTGAACTTCCACTCATTTAGATCATGGCTCATCTGTGCCTCAATTTCATTTACCTGCCATTGCTCCATAGCCATTGATACATGATTCAGCAAACATTTATCAAAATAGTAAGTTCTTGTAGTTTTTAAAAATTTAATCTTCTAACCGTTTGTATATTTTTCCTCTCAGTGGGTCTTTTTACCAGACCCTGAGCAGAGGTCTCAGCTTGTCCTCCCTCCTCCAGTTCACGTGGATTATCGAGCTGCCTGTTTCTGCCACCGTAATCTGATTGAAATTGGTTATGTGTGTTCGGTCTGCTTATCAAGTGAGTTTCAGTATAGCTAGTTTTTTTTTAATTGATTGACCAGTGATTAGTTATTAATTAATTTCTCTCTTTAATTTATCAGTATTTTGCAACTTCAGTCCCATTTGCACTACGTGCGAGTGAGTATTATTCGATTCTTTTGTTTGAATATTTTTGAATAAATGATTGATTTTGTATGATCTGGTGACAATGTTTTTTTTAATCAGGACTGCTTTCAGAATTGCTCTGCCACCTGTAATGAAAACCAAGAAAAAGAAGCCAAAACTCTCAACACAGAACTACTTGACGAGCTGACGTCAGTGGACAAGAATCATTCAGTCGGCCTTTCTTCTTTCTTCACTTTTACCTGCTTCAAGTATTTGCTGGAATTGGTACAGTAATCCAGAACCACAACATTCCCTCTGTTACTGCTGCAATATAAAAGCAGGAGGAGTTGAGACTGTAACACAGTGTTAAACTCTTCATAGCGTATGGTTGAATTATTCACAGAATTGTAAAACACCCAATTTTCAAAGTTTCTTTGACCAATTTGTCGTCTCACTTTTTGAAAATTCTGATGTTGGTTGCAGAATAGATACACAGTATAGATTCTGCCCTGGAAAAGATGTTATTGGAATTAAAAGTTCATTGGTGCCACTTCACAGTTCAGAATTACTGCCGTTCCCTGTTTCAGCTCCTTTCCACTGTTTGGTTTTAGACAGAAATTGCTGGAAATTCAGCAGGTCTGGCAGCAACTGTGAAAAAAAATCAGAGTTAACATTTCGTGTCTGGAACCAAAACGTTAACGTTGAATTTTTCTTCACAGATGCTGCCAGACCTGCTGAACTTCCAGCAACTTCGGTTTTTGTTCCTAATTTACAGCATCCACAGTTCTTTTGGCTTTTGTTTGGTTTTAGAAGTTTCTCTTGCTTTATAGATCAGAGAAGGAGCAAGAATTCCACTCCTATGAACCTGATGAGGTTGTGAAACGGTGAGATATTACATGACTTTGGTCTCTATAAGCTCAGCTAAAACCAGCATAGTGAGGTGTGGGGATTGAACCTAGTTCCGTCCATTTACTTTTGAGAAATTTTCTTTCCTTGGTGTTGGAATCTGAAGGGACCAAGTAAACTTTATTACAACCCTAGATCCATTAAGTGGGATATCAGTCACAATTCATTCTTGAGTTTTTCTATATAGGTGAGGGAGGAGCTGCAATGTGTTAATGTTCCCCTGTATACCTTCAAATCTAAACCAGGGACCGATATCCGGCATGGGAAGAGGGAGGAAAACAACAGAAGAGATTAATTGAATCAGAGATAGTAGGAACTGCAGATGCTGGAGAATCCGAGACAACAAGGTGCAGGGCTGGACAAACACAGCAGGCCAAGCAGCATCACAGGAGCAGAGAGGCTGACGTTTTGGGCCTAGACCCTTCATCAGAAAAAAAGCTTGTGGAGATGACGTCCTGCCTTGACATTGAGAATGACCTCCATCATGTTGTGTGGCACTATCACTGTGCTAAATGGGACAGA